TTTCAAAACATCCAGAAAAATTAGTGAGTTTTCGGTATTTTATCGGCGACACAATCAAAAAATTTACTGAAAGTTCCAGATTTATTCCCCAAAAACGATCCTCGCTGGCGGATTACGTGAAATCTTCCGTAATTGTTCTTGAATATTCCTCTCCGTGTATTGTAAAAAAAATGCGGAGCTCTGTGGAATTTCGATGGAATATTTTCAATACTACGGATATAATCGAAGGTTCTCAAGTTGGTAGGCGGAAAAAATATCCCCGGAAAAAATAGCCCACACACCCAAAACGTGTTAAAACCCACCCAATTTGATAGACCATAGGAAAATTAGAGCCCCTGAAAAAATAGACAACGAAAAAAATAATTAAATTAAAAAATAATTAAATTGAGCCAGTTTAACACGTTTTGGATGTGTGGGATATTTTTTCCCTGGGATATTTTTTCCGAGATTCTCTCAAGTTGAATTCAATGAGTTTTGATCCTGAGTAACAATCGGTCGAGTCCGCACCAAAAGAACGTAAACACTCCGAAATTCTTCCAAATTTTTCCCCATAATAAACTAAAGATAAACAAAACACCGCATTGAAGGAACTAAGAACAAAATTTCATTGTAAAAACTCAAAGAATACTTTTATTATCTGAATAATTATGAGATTACGAAGGAATAGAAAACCATAAAACATAACTCATCATAATTATGGCACAGAATTTTTAAAACTCAACCTCGTTAACTTTACAAATAATTAATTATATACAAAATAGCTCCGGACACTTTCAGAAAATTGAGCATTATGGACAGAGATCTTTCTCCTCCACGAGAAAAAGAAATTTAAATGCAGATCAATCACAATACGACGTCAATCGGCCCCTGTCGTACGATATCTAGAGTATTTCTCTGGTTCTCTAATCGGTTCAGCAATTAAAGAATTCATCAGTCTACATATTTACAATATTCCATAAAATTGTTACCCTGAAACTTTTAAATAATTCAAAGAAAGAGTACTTTAGAGCACGCGAGTATGTTTAGTTTGTACTTGAAAAATCTTCCGTAGCAAAACCCAATCCATTGGAATAAAATTCAAATATTCGTTGTAAATTACAAGGAGAGAAATTCTTTCAAAAATTCGGTAAGGAACATTTCTGTTCTTTTCTCGTAACATGCAAGTACGTATTTCTGACATATTTCTGGGGGTTTACTTAAAAATTTGTTCTCGGTACAGGAAGAGTTGGCGTAATGCCTGATTCAATTTCCAGTGGAAATTAGCCAACGAATTCCTCTCCGTGTAATAAGATTTTAGTAATATCATGGCATTTTATGATTATCGACTGAGAAAATGTATGCAATTCTGACCTCCCAATTTCCCCTGAATTCGTAATAAAATGAAAATAAATAGAGGAATTTACTATAATCATTGATACAACTCTCAAAACCCTCAAAATAAAAAAGTATGAAAAATCGACTATCAATCGAATTCAAAAATTGTCAAAAAATTGATCAATAGACTACAAAACTTTTTCGCAGTCAAAAGTATCTGCACAGCAGACAGTGCCTCGATTTAAATCCTCCCATGCGCATTATCCCGTGAAAATGCAGATTAAAACAGAGACAAAAGAATTCTTGTTTCTAGAGAAAATCCCTTTTTAATAATAAAAAAATAATTAATTTCAATTTCAAAAACTCTTCAACTCCACAGTGAAAATCCGAGAGATAAAAGTAGTATAATTGTTTTTTGTTAAAAAAAATCCGTAATAATATATCCCTGTGATTACAGGCCAATAAAAACAATGTATACACATAATTTCACATAGTTTTGCATAAAAAAAATGTTTAAAACCATCAAGGAAGAATCAGTTGGGGATAAGATATGGAGTGATTGTTTTAATCTGAAACAAGAGTTCTTTTCTCTCTGAAAGAAAAAAAATAATAATCGAGATAAGAAAAAAAGTGAATCTTCACCGAATAATTTCCATCTTGTGGGTATTAGTTTAAATAATTAACAGTACGGCATTGGGGCAGGTTGGTGCTACGGAGGTGGAATATGAGGAATATCCCGGAGTTCATGGAATTCCGCGAAACATGGCCATCGACAAAGACAGGCATTGCAGGCCCAACATTTGAAGCGTGTCTGTCTAAGCTTTCCACGTGACGTGAATACTCCTCGTCGTTTGCAGTGTACACAGACTTTTCCATGGCCATTTGCTTTGCTGAGGCTATGAGGTTGACCGGATACATACGTTATTCCTCCTGGAGAAAATTGGTCCAAATAGGTTCTTCTGTTAGTGATAACTGACAAACTTAGAGTATTTTTTTTGGTTTATTTGTGAAAGGTCATGCAGGAAACCATTAGTTAATTTGTGTCTCTCAGTTTTTTTTTTCTCGTTTAGAATTGAGATTCACTCCTTTTGGTGGAATGACCAGATCCCAGCACCAACCCGTAGCCGTAAGCCAGCATAAATCTCTGCGACCAATACCCACAACTTAAGCATTGCCAGGTGCTTGTTCAATGTGCTTGCCTCTTGTTCTTTTGGCTCTCGATTTGTCTTTTATTGCTGTTCCTTCGCATTTCATTCTCTGTTTTTATGCTCTATTTTGTTTTAATGGTAGTACAGGTCATAGTATTCAGAATGGTTCTTCGTGATGCAATACTATTTGAAATTTCTGCCTCAAATTTATCTACAACTGGAAATGCTTCATCGAGAAATCATCTCGTTTTGTCATTTTTATTTGTCGAGAATATTTATGATACAATATAGTGCTTAAAATAGAGGTTTCAATATAATGATGTTGCACTAGTGCTTGGTATTTGATCGAAATCGAATTAATTTGACTTGGTGATTCGGAAGAGTTTGAAATAATAAAAAAATCATTCCAGATTGAAAATGAAAATTTTTACTGGAATAAAAATAACGACAATGGAAATATTTAAAGGAAATTAGAAAAGATTACCGTAATTTTAAATAGTATTCATTTGGAATAAACGATTCAAATACTATATTATTGTCGAAATTTTTTTGATTTGTACAACAAATAGTGAAGAACATTAAACCGAGTTCCGTAGAATGACGATAATTTTGACAAGAACGTGTACATATTAAACTATTCCAACAACATTTTGACACAACGAAAAATGAATTTGATATACATCCATACAGATATTTTCTTTTGACAACTAGACATGGATTCATAATATCGTTAATCTGAGCTTAAAAAATGTGATAGCTACGTAAACAATTGTTGTTTGTCTCTATTATTGAATGGTTATCACTTTGTCCTTACTTACCTCTCAACAGCTTGTTAACTAATCGATTGAAACAATACCATGGCAGTGAGAAAATCCAACATTTCTCGATGACAATACGTTCTTAATCATGCCAAATGTCCGTTAAAACCACCACCGCCTTCACCAAAACCAGTGCCGCACGTATTTTATAGTAAATAATCCGCAGTATTTGAGATAAATAATAATTTTTGCTCACTAGCAAAACAGAATTCACCAAAGAAATAAAATTAATTTCTTCGTATTTAGGTTAGAGTTATCAGGAGAGAAAAGAATAGGGAGTAGTTATCTGAAAAAAATCGCAGATAAAGGAAGATCGATGATTGTCGGCCACACATACAGCACTTGGCAATGCTCACTAGCATCTACAATATCCAAAAAACCTACACCTGAAAGTGCCTTTTGTACCCGCAAATGTCTGATCAAGATATACAATTCAAGAGAAATCATAATTGTTCAGAGAAAATAAAGAAAAACCATGCAGTTTGTTCCATGAAAAATACAGCTTTGTCAAATTGCGAGAGGGAAAGATTTTCGTCTATCTTCATGTCGGATTAATCAGAAAGAATCACCTTGATGTATCCAGCACATTCTCACATTCATGACTCTGTCGTCATTGTTTTCCAAGATTTAGGGCTATTTTCTCTATTCAGCATTATCACGCATAATTCTACATAAATATTGCACATTTTAGGCGGATAAATCTGTCTAAAAACGAGAAGAAACTTCTATTAGTTCGTCGAATCTATTACAGTATATGTCGTCACTGGGCCGTTAGGAACTTTTCTGGCGATTGTCAGAGAATGTAAACATAATCGTCAGAAACGTTCTTTTCGGCAAACTAATAAACGATATTTTTTGTTATTCAATCTGTAGGTAACAGTTTACAGCCGCGCAGCGACAAAGAAGTCTTTTAACAATCTCATTAATGATCTTCTTAAAGAAGTCTTTTAAGAATTTTAAAAGAATAGTTTTATATTTTTCTACTCAATTCAAATTATCTCATTCAGACATTTTCCATGGTATTTTTCAATATGATATTTAAAATGGACGAGAATTTTTCAATAGACTCGACAAATCTAATAAAATTTCAATCGATAAATCATTTCATTAATTTATTATCGCTGATTGATGTTTCGATTTAGTGAGCGAAAAAATCGTGGAAAACATTGACGTTACAGATGATATTCTACATTTTTCGTATATCAAGAGAGATAATAGGGGCCTTGAGGAGATGAAGTATCAGATCAATTGCTTGACTATTCACCCGGAAATTTGTTGTAAGTGTTTGAAGAATGCAAAGCTACGCAGGCTACTATACCATTTGAAAAATCCTGTGTGTGAGAGAGACGATTGTCCCGTGTTAATGTAATACACCCAGTGTAATTAGAGATTATTTCATCGCCTTAGAGTAATCAAGGGGTCGCCAGGTTTTGTATACTTGGAAATTTGTCTGCCCCCTGCGATGCCTTTTCTAGTTATTTAATTAATGAAGAAATGGGGTGATTTATTGGATTGAAAAATCATTCTAGTTTTCATTTTCGAGGGTTAGCCGATCAGGTCGGGATTTTAAATGGGCGAGGGGCCCTGAATGACTGGAATTATTACTTTTTCTGCCTTAGAATGTGCGAATTTAAGGGACCGGCAAGAGCATGAGGCAATATACAGTATACGAGAGGAGGAGAGAATGAATGAAAGTTATCAATTTTTTATGGGTACTCACCCTGCGCTGAATCCTGAGATAACCTTTCCCCTGACGTACTAGGCTTGGACAGTAAATGACCTGAAACAAATCAAAATGTGATCAGAAATCAAATTTGGTAAAGTAAGGTTATTTCATCATCTCAAATAATCAGTGATTAACAGCTCGTGTTATATTACACAGAAACCTCAAGATATTATAGATGTACAAAAATGGCATATTTCGTCACGGGGCCGTTAGAAACTTTTCTAGCGATTGTAAGTTTACAGTCCGAGGCGAAGCCCGGTACTTTTTTAACGATTATGTTTAGGTTGACAGGGTAAAATAGACCGTGTAGGTAAAATGGACTTTTTCATATTTGCGAAGTTTTTATGAATTTTTTATAGAGATGTAAGGGCGAAGTATTGGGCGCGTTTATACGTGTTGGAATGGCACATTTAAGTAATTAACACGGAGTTTTAATTCTGTACTAAATTCAATTGATATACAGTTAAACAATGATAAAAATCACATTTCTGATATGTTAAGCACTATTTGCATGAAGCAGAAATGGATTGTTTTTTATAGTTATTTTACCCATGTTCCTCCCAACACAAATGTAGGTGGATGATTTGAAAGTAAGCGCTAGGGCTAAGCTCATTTGAGTAGTAAAAATTGTTGAAGAATGATTTTCTGCTTAGGGGGGCCATTTCGTCCTCCACTCCCCTACATTTCTCGGCTTCGCCTCGAACTCAATCGCCAGGAATTTTTTTAATGGCCTAGTGCCGAAATCTACCATTCGATTACCAATTTGCCAGTTTTTTCTATTAAATTAATTTCTCAACCTCAAGGAAAAATGTTTTATCAAACTACAAATTTTGGCAAATAAAATAAAATCAAACAGCAAATCAATTAACGCAATAATCTTGAAATATCTTAGAATAAGAAAATTAAAAAATAATAACTTAAACGTAATTTAAAGTAAAACTAAAAACGTCTACACATCACAATTCAGGAATAAAACAATGATGGCAAAAAAATTCGCAGTCAGGAGTGATATTGAGATAATTACCCAAATCAGTCGATGACTTTGGATCTGATGCATCAGAGCCTGATTGATTAGTGTAAAACGTCTGGCTAATATCAGGCTTACGATCATCATCAGCATTCGAGAGTGTGTCGTCTAATTTGTTCGAGCCATCCCCTGTGCTCTGCTCCTCGTAACTGCAACTGCTCCCATCCTGCTCCAGATACTCGGGCATTTCCAATTTTAAATTTGGCATCAGAGGAATTATCTCGATGGGATCGCCTCCCGAGGTAACTGCCTGCTCGGTTGCTTTGTCGTCAATATCTTTAGTGGCACTTGAACTGCTTGCTGATGATTTGTCAGCATTTGATGTTGTATCCCGGAATTTTCGTCGTTTGGTGGGTGGCGTGTCAGGATTCACATCTACTGCGTGATATGGAAGGGGTGACGAGGGTGATTTATTGCCTTTGTTGTTGACCATGGGCTTTCCAGAAACGTTTTGCAGCTGAACTTCGGGCTCGTTGGGAATTTCAACGTCCTCCTGGAAGCGCAAAGAGACGGGGGTATTTCTAGACTTCTTAGAGTTTTCCAAATTTTTCCATGTCTTTATCTTCTTGGGGAAATTTAAAAAATCGTTACCTCAGCAATACTTTCAGAGTCCTTTCCTGTGCCATCAGTCAATCCCTGAACAGCCAACAACTCAGCGGTCGTCAAAAAACTGGCAAGCTGTTCTTGAACAACGTTAACCTCCCCCTGGTACATAAAGTCTACTAATGCAGCCAAGTCATCGAATTTGACATTTCTAAAAATTATCACTGGGTGCTGACATGGATTTTCCTGCAAAAACAATCATTCCAATTTAGTATCCACTTATCTATACTAGTTTGAAATTCTTTCATTTTAAATATTCATTTATAGCGATTTCGCGCAATGCCACGTAGAAACCTGCACATTGAATTAATAATCGAAAATAATTTCAATAAGGAAAAACGGAATAGCAATAATTTCCAAGAAATTACGACTAATCAATATGCAATATGTAATCATCTTAAGACCTTTCTTCCCATCGTTCCACAGCATACCCAGGTGGCCCTGAGCTTCCAAATACAATGAAAATACTTTACTTCCCCTTCCCCCAACTCACTTTAAATAAATCCCGAAAATACGTGCTGCACGCCGAGAGCAGCATTTTGTGCGCCCTAATGCGTTTCCCCTCGCAGCTGAGTGTGACATCAACGAGATCTTCATCACTGCGTAGTGTATCAAAAGCACATGTAATGTGCTTCAAGTAATTATTCCACCTGAGTGAGAATTGCTGACTGGAGCCCATGATGATTATCCTATTATCCTAGAGCAAAAAGATCTTTAATAAATCAAGATGCAATGGCCATCGACCCCTCAAAAACAATCCCCTTAAAAAAAAACCCCCAGGGGGAAAAATCCATACTCCCATGCAACGAGGAAAAAAAAAACCCACCTTTTCTGAGATCACAGGAGTCAATCAGGCCCAGCTGTTGAATTATCTTCCTTAATTACCGGAAATTTTCAAAAGCCGACAATTACCGGAATATCGAGGATATTTTCCCACGTGATTGCGGAATTCAATAATGATTAGTGGATTCACTATCGTTCACAGAGCCCACGGACTGTAAACAGTGATACCCAAATGGAATTTCATGGCACCACAGAATATAAATTACTGGTATTGGAGTTTTTGGATGTCGCTGGGTGTGCACTCACTATTTTCATTCGTACCACAGCATCACGTCACGGTAATTGGGTAAATAGTTCGATTGTCTGGTTATTATTGGAGGTTGAGATGTTCTTTAGGAGATGAAATGTACGGGTGAGTGACAGCTGGTAGCCATTTTCCGTTGAGGAAAACGCGTAGGATGCGCAAGAGAAGCCCTGGATCGACACAAAGCGACGCATCGTTGTGGGGGTTTCGAGGGAGGCGGGGGGTTGGTTCGTACTTTTACAACTCCCCCTTGATATCGGGAACCAAAGAGGATTGACCAAAGTAGAGGCTCAGTTCTGGGGGTTTGAGTGACCGCAGCACCATCGTAGTAGCCAACCCCATATGAGGGAGGGCGCCACACGCAACGCTGGGGTATCTGTCATTAATCGACTCAGCGACTTTTCAGTAATATCCCTCCAGCTTCCCTTTTAATAACTCTGAGCTGATTGGAATTTTTGACGAGCTGATTTCAAAGCCTCCGACTGCTGATTATCTGTGTTTCAACGAATTAACAGTTATTAAAAATATCTTCACAAATTTGTCAGTGATGTTTACTTGATTTACTTCAATAATAATTTAATATCGTACTTACTGTTTTGGGCGGAGATAT